GTCGTTATTATGTTTTCAAAAGCGTAAACAAAACTACCGCAGTTATAATAATAATAATTGAGGTTCGGTGTTGATTTTTCAGTTTTTTTTTAGATACTTATCATAAATAAACATAAAACGTACATAATATTACGGAGATTATACTATAAAGAATAATAATCTTCGCATGCTACACAATTATATTATAAAAAAAAATATAGTTATTATATTCTTGCTATTGATGGCTCAGATTTTTTATTTTTATTTTTTAGGTCTTCTCTCGCACATCAGCAAGATGATCCGCAAAGAAAATACCATTATTATTTATTATATTAAACACATACAGTTTTACAAACCATCTAATATAATCGTTTACCATAAAATAAAATCCACATGAAATTCGATTATTTAAAAAAAAAATTTTACGGCGTTAAACTGTTTACTATATTGTATATATAGTTGTGTTATATAGGTCATGTAAGGTAATAGGTACACAGCAAACAAGCTTTTAAATTGTTTTTAATTAAAACTTACAACATAGTGATAATTGTTTTATATTATAAAATAAATTTTTTAACATTTTGTAATAATAACAAAATATTAAAACACTCATACTTTTCACATTATGAAAAAAAAACATTGAATTGTTCATTTTAGTAATAGAAAATATAAATTGTTTTCGCTCGAATAAATAAATGATATTGTTAAACGTTGTTTCATATATTTGAAAATAATAAATTATGTTTGTAATTTAAACCGATATTGTTATGGTCGCTCGTTAAACAGAATGTGTGCATATTTTAATAGTTTTGAAGTGCTTGGGCTTCCGGTTGCTGAATATAACCCTTTCAACGTGTGTGTATTAGGGAACAGGAAATTATACTCAAAGCTGAACGGCTAAAAACCACTAATAATGATTCAGACAATATTCTGTAGTAAAATATAAACAAAAAACTAACCTACGTCGGTTAAATAAAATAATATGTTCTCTTAGGTTCATGAATCATGATGCATCAATATTTCAGATAACATTTGATACGTGCAGGATGGACATATATTTATTTTACAGAACAATAATAATGGACATATTATTATAATATATTTCAGTTCATCGAGAGCATAAATGCAACATTTGGATCAAATTCCGTTTTTGATTTTTTATTACCATTATTTTTTTAAACAACATATTCTTATATTGTATAGTATATATAACAACTATTATTATAATAATAACCTTTTTAAATTCGATGCTCTTTAGGCGCACATCACGTTTTGATATTGTTTTTCTTTTCATTTTATTATTTTTTTTTTTAACCACATACCATAGTARCGGAAACTCCATTGAAAATCGAAGACACGCCTTACATATTTACATTGTTCGCTAATATAGCATTTGAAATTAAATACAAATAATACATGTGTTGAGTGGTAGAAAAACACTGACTATACTTGTAAATGTTTCTGAATCACCCACGACCTCCATCTTTTTGACACAGTTCTTCTGCAGAATAATATTTTARCGTATATATATATATCGGTACAAATGTGGCTATTTTCATTGATTGTGTTTAACCATGAAGAAAAATCGATCGTATCAATAATACAACGCAATCATGATGTGGAAAAATTAATTATATATTATAAATATATAGTATTGTCGTTGAGTTAAACAAAGAAGATGAAATTTATTGTTAATGTAAGTTCAACTGACATTTATTTGTTTACAATAGTATTGAACTGATGAAATATCAATGTATGATGGCTATAGCCTGCAATGATATTTTAAAATACGGAAAGTATAGTGGTTATTTATTTTATTGTAACAGCTACAGCAAGTTATGATTGTATAAAAACTACACTAATCTTGAGACAAATGATTTTTTATAAATGTTTTTATATAATTATAGATTTAATAATTTTATGAATTTGTTTAATTTTTTGTAAATACAAAATATTAAAGAGTATGTGATTTTTCTTACACGTGCAGTATGCAGTGTGTGCACGTTGTATATATTTTACCAGCGGAATGTTTGAATATTTTATTCATTATWATATAATTTATGATTAAATTAAAATTGCCAAAAATATAGAGAAACGCACATATAGTTCATCCAATCTTATATTTAACATCAATCTGAATTAATATTTCTTATTACACGAGTAAATCATGATGAGTTAAAAAATGTCTCTATACCTATACCTAGGTACTCTTTTATTTCATCATATCGTTTTTATCTATAGCTTTTTAATTTCATATATTTTTTAAAAGAATTTAAGCAATGTTATTCCATTATACAATGGGAACGTAGAACTAAATAATCAAATCGTTTGTTGATAAGACATTGTGCTCATGATGTCTGCTTGGTGAACTTAATACCTTTACCAGTACCATCTGACAATAACGAAATTATCCTAAACCTGATGCTATTACCCATAGCATATACCTATATAAAATATAAAAGTACCAAATTGTTTTTTTTTTCCATTTACTCGAATTACATAAATCAGGTTTAGAGTGAGCACGTCTTAAATTGCTATACTGMACATAATTTCAGGACTCGCTATACAGCAGCGATTTAATGCAATGCCGTTTTGTATACTTACATATATTGATAATACAATGCGAGTATATATACTGGATGATACGTATTTCAGCTAATGAGAACACTTCTTTATTTTTGTAACCTTAAGTTGAAATAATATATTACATGGAATGCTTAAATACTTWGATGTTTTTCTTTAACTCTTTTTAAATTTCATATTTTTTATATTACCTATACCTCCATATACTATACCTATACCTACGTATATCATATACTATTCAACAAGAAAATAATGTAAGTACCTATACTTTCAGACTACAATAAATATTTCATCTGGTGGTCACATTTAGACATTCGGAAAAAATCAAAATCAAACCGTTTTACCCAATTATTGTGCTATAGATCTATAATACACAAAATAATAATATGTGTGGTATTGTATACTGGATATTAACATCTACARAGTGATCCATTTCAGTGGGCACACTAATTTTCTAGAAAAGTATTAACTTTTTTTGAATTTTTTTTTAAGCTTTTAAGTTTATGTTTTTCTTAAACCATATGATGTTTCAATTTTTTCATCCTTATATTTATTGGTGAAATCATTTTCAACTTTTGATTTTTAAATGGTAACAAATAATAAAAATATGATGGATTAATAAAACTATTTTTTTCATGAATTTACGTGTTTAAATTTTATTTTTCGTTAATTTGTTTACGAGATACAGCTACTAGGGAATTGGTGGTTTTTAATATTTTTCTAATAACCGTGAAGACCAGGAATCAGTAATAAATTCGATATCACTGATTCAAAGGTAACAAAATAAATCCAATTAGTTCAATTAGCTGATAAGTTAATAAATGGTTAGGGTTCAAAGAACAATAGTAATCTTTAATTAATTTTCATTAATTTTGTTATTTTAGTTTCAGCGATATCACATTTATCACAAGCTTCTGGTCTTTACAATTATTGGAAAAATAGTAAAATCCACCAATACTTTGAGGAGCTGTATCTCACAAATCAATCAACGAAAATAAAAATGTTAACACGTAAATTCATTTTTTAATTATAATATKTTACCATTTGAAAACCAAAAGTTGATAGTAGTTTCGCCAATTAATATGAGGGTGAAAAAAATAAAAATATTATACAGTTTTAGAAAAACATAATCCTAAATGTTTAAAAAAAAAAGTTATTACTTTTCGGGATAATGAGTGTAYACACTTAAATGGATCACCCTGAATATGTGAATAAAACAAAGGGACGATAACGCAAAATATATATAATATTATGCTAATATGTCATTCGTAAATTTTACTAAGATTTTCAAGCCTAGAGTTATATATACATTGAAAGTACAAAAGTACGATCGAAAATCGTTTTGGGCTAAACTGACTAAAAAAATGACAATACGACAAATCATGTCATAAAATGTCATAAAATGTCATAAAATGTATAAAAAAAGAAAATATCACGGTTAGATTAGGGTCTTTATAAATGAAGAAATAGTATAAACAAAGTCGCATTCACTGGCCATAACACCTTCTTCAACCTCYAATAATTTGAGGAGATAATAATTAGAGTACCCACTGAAATGAATTACTCTGTATAATAATAAAAGCCTATTAATAGATAATTACCACTGAGCATTGCTAGTAGGTATTATTTATTACAAATTAATAACTATGTATGTATTACTCAGGATAATAGTTCATAACGATAGAGAACAGATTTTATATGCGAGTAATTAGTGATAACATGTTTTTACCCAGTTGTAATATTTGATAAACTATGGTTAGTTATATAAAACATGTTTCATGAACATTTCAACAAACATTAAATACATTTGTATGTAACAGATCAACAATAGATACTGATTTAAATGGACTTTATTAAATTTTGACAATGTCCTTTAAACCTTATATTGAAATATGTTATTCCCAATGCCCATCATATAACTTATTATAATTATTAAAAATATAATTGAATATTACTGTTTACATAAATAAACAGCTAGGTATAAAAAATTTCAATATACTTTTTGACATCATCTCTAAAAAATAGGTATTATTATTGTCGAAAATACGTTATTTCTATGTTTTTAAATTTGAATGATTATCAAATTCTGTAAAATTGATGTAGAAAAAATAAGTGCTATATTGCATATAGTCAAAGTTTTCGTATTATTATAGTACCTACCTTAATTTRTTATTATATTATATATATTTATACACATAATAATAATACCTACGTAATAATAATTTTGTAATCACGAAACAACTTGAGTAAATTATTTTTAATGGATATTTAATGAAAAAAAAAAATTGTAGAAATATTAAAAAACGRCCTATGCCATGAAAAGTGAGTGTAACTTGTGAGCAGTCTGAGTTCTAACAGAAATAGGTGACATAACTGCATTAATTAAACCTGAAAAACATATTTAAATTAAAATAGTATATACAAAAATCTGTACTCACTGTATACGACCATGGGGTGCCAGGCGGATCGGCGTTCAGAGTTCCAGTCCTCCACTTGACACCTGTACTCGCCGGTGAGCTCGGCGGTGGGCCGCTCTACCCGAATGACCCGGTGCAAGTACGACCGGTCTGCGCGTGGCGTCTCTGCGGTAACGTCGACCGTCCTTCCGCTGAGAGGACCCAGCCCGCCGCCCGCCTCGGGCCCTCCGCCAGCTATCCACTGATACACCTGCTCGTTGTCGTTGATGATGGCCATCGCGTCGTTGGGTGCTACCGGTATGGGGTTACGCCGGAAGTACCACTTGACCACCAAACCCCGTAGCCGCTGCACCTCCTCCATGGCCTCGTCCATGGCCAGGTCCGGTGCCGGCGACGATGACCGCCGGTCCCGGGCGCCGTTCGCCGTGGACGCGGTCCCGTTGACCGTCCGCGATGGTTTCGTCGCAACGATCACATCGCCGTTCTCGTCGTCGTTCTCGCCACCCTCCAACGCGTACACGCAGCCCAACAAAAGCGGCGGAGGTGCACCGCCAATCGCAGTGGTCGACGGATCGGGTTTGGCATCGTATGACCGAACCACTGACGGCACGTCCACCCTGACCACTCGCACAACGTTCACGGCCAACGCCGCCTGATCTGTGGACAGACAACAACATCAGTTTGAGATAGTCGTTCACATMGCGGCAAAAAGCCTCGTCCCGAATCACGGAAATAACTATTAGTGTATTACTGATGTTAATCATGGTTTMGATTCCGACTTAACGGTGTCAAAAAAAAAAAAAACTWTAATTATCGCAGTCTGTCAACTGAACATAACGCATTACTGTTCAATTATTATAATATAATGGTATTTGTAGTTTTCAAGTTTTGTATCCACTTTTAATATTACGTCTCATCATAGATGAAACAATTTTTATTTCAAGCAACTGCAATGTTTGTGCCTTAAAAATACTGTTTTTTTTTTCAGTTCTATTTTTTTTTTTATATATATATCGGATTTTAATATTTTCGATAATTTAATATTTTGAATTTTCTGACCTAACCAAATAAAAATTAACGAGATAACTTATAATCATGCTTAAATATATTTAAAATAAAAAATTTGAAAACAAACGTATTTACTGAAATAATAATTATTTTAAGTTAATTAAACTACTATCCATATYTTATAATATATTATAWAATTATAATATATTGCATTGTACATACAATATACATATCTTATATATATAATATAAAGGATAGAGTGTATATTTATTATRTTATACATAATACGACATATCATTTTTTTCTATTATAACATTCTTTATTGTCTTCTGCTTGAATTATGACGATAAATTACACATTATATTACTTTATATAAAGCGGCTGTTGTATATATAACATGTAAACACCAAAGTTTGATTATTTCCTATTACGCCTCCAACCGATAAATCACCGGACCAATATATATATATATATATCTGAAACTCTTCCGGTTAGTATAACACGGTTTATATATCATGATTCATGATGATCAATTCAAATACAAGTAGGTTCAGAAATTGAAAAAAGAATATCACATGATAATATTGAAATACACTTTTGTGTATTCACTCTGTGGATGAAATATACCACTATTGAGACAAATACGTTTTATACAATATATGATAAGTGAAACAGTTTAGGTATACAGTAATAATAAATAATATAGAGGCAATCGCTGCAATAACTGTGTAGGTACAATAATTCCAATAAAAACTAAACATATCGCTGAAATCGTACAGTGACCGTTTGTAATGTAACAGATTTGACACCATAAGGCAGACAGTGCAGATGTTTTAAAACTAAATAAATTATCGATGAAAAGTGTTTTTTCCAGGTAAAGGGGGCGTGAACGTGAGTTCAAATCGTATAAATATTAAATAACAACTATAGCTAAGAAAAATATCGAAGAGCATACTAGGACCAAGAGGTGTGGCATTTGCAGATATATTCATTATACGATTATAATATGTGAGAAAAATACTGCTGACCTTATAGATACCCTATTGGCTCATGCGGGGTAGTTCACATATTGCAATATGGGACCGATAGGTGATGCGCAATCATATTATTGAAAAAAAAAATAAAGGTAGRTTATGTATGAGAATAAAAAATTCCTTATTCTSCTTACGRTTCACGCACAACAGTATTATATACCGAAGCGGCCTACGACGACAGGTATATATCAATCAAAACGAGAAACATATTTATATGCGTTTGTACAAATAATATATTTCTAACAAAACTATAGATAATAATATTGCTTATATGTACGTATATTATATTATAATATGAATAATTTGTTTTTTTCTGTGTATACTCGTGGGAAATTTCTAACGTAATATTATCTATCTCCTTCTCTCTCCTCATATAAGTATGTATCATAAAYATATATATATATGTATTCGTATGTTATTATATGTTTTACTATCCTACGTTCGGAGGTAAAATATTATATGATTTAATATAATAATAGAAAATTGGAAAAAATTTGTATTTCCGTAGACAACGCGTATACTCACCACATTGTTGACTACCTATGTTTGTTTATTTGTAACCACTGATGCCGAAAAATACATAAAATATTATTACTATTAGAACCAATTTGACCGAGAATAACGGTGTATAGGCCGGCCGTAAATGTTACACATAATAATTTTCGATGGCGCAACGATATCGAAGGCTGCGGACCGCAATGGTCTCATCTGCTGTAGTGCACTTAATTCGACATGGTGTCTATCATTTTTGGCAGTTACGACAGATGTTCGGAACGTCAAAATAACATTAAAAAAATATATACATGCTTACATTCACCGACCATGCATTCGGTTGTTTGTTTCAAATTGACCCCGAATTTAAAAAGAGAAGAAATAAAAAAATGAAGAAAAAAGCTGTATACGCATAACGTGGCATAGGATTGTGCAGTGCATATCTAATTAAAAAAAATCAATATTGGGATATGAGCTTTTGAAAATTTTTAGTACAGAAACCTGACCGAAACCCTTTGTTTATTCTCTGAGAGCAATGGCTACCGTGGTGTCCGGTAGTATAGATTTTATTGTTTGTAAATTMAAATATTATTTTATTATTTTCATAAGTACCTAGTTCTTTGATAAAACGTATATAATATATTTAATACTCAATAGTATTGTATATAAATTTAAAAACAAATAATTTAATATTATTTTCTTTATATGATAATTACCTAAGTATTTATATGTATTGCTTTTTATCATTCCTAAGTCACAGGTTGCAAAAACTGTAGTTATCTTAACTTTAAAAACGTGTATTCGATTAAAGTAGAACTGAAAACCTTTTTATGTTTTATCTGTATTTTTAAGAACCAAATTAAAAAAACTATAAATGTTTTATTCTCTGGAGTGGTCATGATTATAATAATTATTGCTTATATATATATATATATACACTAACAATATTATTATAGTAACGTAGCGTAAGTTTTGATGAATATATTAATATTTAATCACTAACCGTATGCCTTTCATTAACAAATGTTTAAATATAATAAGCTTTCATATTACATCCATAATACGTATTATAATGGGAAAGAATTCTGATTACAGCGTTTACCTGTGTGTGAGATAAATAATGGAGCTATATTATATTATCATGACGAGGGATTTAGGTTTATATATTATAAGTCGTATTCGTATACAAATGTCAAATATACAATTACGTATGATACAAACGTGATAGTAGCTGAATAGAGAGAATTAAAGGTGCGAATTAATGTACGCGTTTCGTAAATGCGAATTAAATCCCGAAGACCGTGTTTAAAACTGCGTATAGGTAATATTAGTAATAACTTAAGTTGATAGGACTTATTATTTTACATTATAATAGACATTATTGTGAGCAGGCTAATAGTGTAGATCGTAAGTTAATCAGAAATTAGCATTCTTGGACGTGAGTAAATGTGAAACGAAAAATAAACATATTATATATTATACGYAATTGTACAATATTGTGCGCACCGACGAACGGTGTAATAAATTATAATATCACCGCATCGCAAATTGAARATATTAATATATTGAGAATATTAATTGTAGACGGTTTCCTGTAAAACATTGTATTAAAAATATAGTTGAATTAGATTTAAAATATTCGGTCACCGTATATTTGAAATAAAATATTATCATGAATACCTTTTCGAAACGTTTTGTTAATTTGAAAACTAAACGTTGTAAAAATATTTTGCTATAATATTGTGAGGACGTTTTTTCTCTTGCCAAAAAAACATTTCCATATTATGTTTTCACAATATTTTCACATTGTGATGAATATTATTTTCAACAATATTTTCATTCTGTTCTAATATTTTATTAATACTTTTAAAATGTTATTTTTCTCTTTGGGATTGTATGCGGCTATAGTGTTGGTCGTAAGTTGATTCAGCAATTCATATTCTCGGACGCGAGCAAATGTGAAACGACTATACACATATTTTATAATATAATATTGGTACACACGATGTAAATTACTATAATATTATCATTCAGACTATTTTATAGTAATATTATTTTTTAACGAGTATTAACGACACAACTCTAAATAAATGTCGAGGGAATAATACYAGTTTTGCGCTATTCGTAGTTTAATGGGACACGTTGTGGAAAAATGATTTTTAAACGAACGCCAAATTGGGCAATGGGCTGTGAAACCGACAATAACCAGTCAATACTATATATATATGTATGTATAGGAATATTTTATACACTGTATGTAATATTATATTATATTGTGTCAGTGTCTGAACAATAATTATAAATCTACGCGTGAGCACACGCGTGAGGTGAATTTCCTTCCGGTAAACRGTGGTGGCAGACTTCCGGTGTGGGACCGGTCGTCAACCATGCACGCAGACGGTGTGGTACTGACGGGGTAGTACCAGGTGGATAGATCACGGTGGGTGTGTCATAAAAATAGACGATCCGAGACAATAATAAATGACTGGACACGAGCGCACCTCGTATACACAATATTATTATTATTATTATTTATTATTATTATCGTCACGTAATCCTATATCGTTTTAATAGTGGCCGCGAAAAAAAGAGTCAATATAATGAAACGTTTGGCGTCCGTCTTGCGCCGGGGTCGTGCACGGGTTTTCTTCGGGCAGAAATCGACCCCGAGCTCGTCTTACCGGATGTGTCGTATATAATATTTCCCGTCCGAGACGAAATCTTAGTTGTTCTATGACAACGACCCCCGCACATATTGTGAACATCCGTTGTAATATATACGTATTCCCGGAGAAAGATACAATTTATTTCGGAACTAGCTTTTATTTTCGAAATCCTATTAAGACTAATGGACGTTTCAATATTGCATTATATRCGCACGCTGTATATTAGGATATAGTTATAAAGTAATATAATACATACATATATATATAGCATTATAGCCGTACACGAGTATTACATTTTGGCGACTTATTATTACATTGTTGTGCATTTTCATTCATGAAATGTTGTTTTTTTTTAACGAAGTCGATTCGTCGAAATTCATAACCGATTATTTAGTAAAGCCTGTTTTCATGAAAACGTTTTTATTTTCTATTTCCRAGTTATTTCCGCGGACTTGGG